TGGCACCACCGTCTTGGCCACCCCTCCCTGCCTCGTCTTCGGGGCATGGCTTCCCGTGTCCTTGTCTCTGGTCTTCCCCAGTCCCTCCCTCCCCTTCCTTTGGGGCCTAGTCCTTCCTGTGTCCCCTGTGTCGAGGGGCGGCTCCGGGCTGCCCCTCACTCCTCTCAGTTTCCCCCGAAAGAGGCCCCGCTGTAGACGCTTCACATGGACGTATGGGGCCCGGCCCGCGTCCGTCGACAGGGTCACGAGCGCTACTTCCTGCTGGTGGTTGACTACTCGCGTTACACCACGATCTTTCCCTTGCGCAGCAAGCGTGATGTCACTTAGGTGTTGATCGACTGGATCTGCGCAGGTCGTCTCCAGCTCAGGAGGAGCTTTGGCTCAGACTTTCTTGTTCTGCGTCTGCACTCTGGCCGAGGCGGAGAGTTCTCCTCTGGCCTTCTGCGAGCCTACTGTCGTGCGCGAGGCATCCGCCAGACTTTAACGCTTCCGAACTCTCCACAACAAAATGGGATTGCTGAGCGCCGCATTGGCATGGTCATGGACGTCGCTCGTACGTCCATGATGCATGCGGCTGCCCCCCATTTTCTGTGGCCGTTTGAGGTTCGGTACGCGGTGCATCAGATCAACCTTCCCCCTAGGGTCTCCCGGCCGGAGACCTCCCCAGCTCTGCTCTGGACGGGGAAAGTCGGCGATGCGTCTGCGTTCTGTGTCTGAGGATCTCGGGCGTTTGTCCGCAACTTGTCTGCGGACAAGCTGTCCCCTCGTGCTGCTCCCTGTGTCTTCCTTGGCTTCCCCCTTGACGCACCAGGGTGGCAGTTCTACCATCCCTCCTCTCGTCGTGTTCTGTCCTCTCAGGACATCACGTTCGACGAGTCAGTCCCCTACTACCGCCTCTTCCCCTACCGCACTCCTTCCCTCCCCCCCCCCCCCACCGCACTTCCTTGTACCCGGTCACCCCCGGTAGACCCCCTTCCCCCTCAGGGTCCTGCCCCTTCAGGTGTGTCCCAGGTAGACGCAGTCGAGCGGTCGAGGTTGCTGGTGACTCTGGGGGTGCTGCGCGCGAGGGTGCTGAGCCTGGGGGTGCTGCGACTGGGGGAGCTGAGCCTGGGGGTGCTACGTCTGGGGGTGCTGAACCTAGGGGTACTGCGACTGGGGGTGCGGAGCCCGGGGGTGCTACGACTTGGGGGTGCTGAGCCTGGGGGTACTACGTCAGGAGCTGCTGAGCCTGGGGGTGCTGCGTCTGGAGCTAGTGAGCCTGGAGGTGCGGAGCCTACGGCTGCTGGACCTCTCTTTGTGGTGTGTGGCGGTGCTGGGCCTGGAGGTTCTTCGGGTGCTTCGTCTCGGCGGGAGCCACTCTCTCCACAGGAGCTGCGTGAGTGGTTTGCCGGGCGCTGGAGGCGTCTTGCTGGAGCTGCTGAGGGTGTTGGCGCTGAGACTACTGCTGTTAGTCCTGGCGGTGGTCCTGCTGCGGGTGCTCCTGGTGCTGCTGGAGGTCCTGCAGCTGGAGGTGCTGCTGGCATTGGTGCTGCCGCAGAGGGTGCTCGTGCTGTCCCTGCTGTTTCTGGATTTGCCGAGCGGCCTCGGCCGTACTTTGTTCCGCTCCTATAGCAGGTTCTTGGTACTTCTCCTCCTGTAGAGCGTCCAACGTCTGTCCAGTCTTAGTCACAGTTAGAGCCCGCCTCCCCGCTGCCTGCTCCCTCTCCTTACACTGGTCCTACATGAGTCTTGCTGAGCGTCGTGAGCCTACGTCTCGTCCCGCGTCGCCTGTTCGTGCTGCTCGGGCTAGTGGTCGCGGTTCGCGTCAGCGTCCTCCTCCTGTCCCTAGCACACACCGGATGTTTCTGCATCCGTCCACTGCTCCTCTGCGTGCCCCTTTGCCCACTCCTCCTGAGTCCTCTCTTGCTGCGCTGGCCGACCCGGAGTCGGACGTTCTTCGTGCTGCCAGTCCTACTGTCACGCGTCTCCTTGCTACTGTCGTCACTGACCCTTCCTTTGAGTCCACTGCTGCGTCTGCCCTAGTTGCTGAGCTGGTCGACTTTGCTGCTCGCTGTCGTCTAGAGTACGCTGCTAGTCTTGTTGCTGAGTCTGCGTCTGTCTGTCCTCCGTCCGTCGGGGGTGAGTGTGCTCTTGGCACGGACGTCCTTGAGGACAGGCAGGAGGAGTTACAGTGTCTGGCTGCTGCTTCACCTCATCTCGCGTCCGTACTGCTTGCCCCTAAGGGAGACCCGGATGCACTAGACATCCCGACTCCGCGCTCTTACGCAGAGGCCGTAGAGGGTCCCTACTCCTCTCACTGGCGGGCAGCTATGGATGCACAGATGGCTTCCTTAAAGTCCATAGGCACCTACGTTGACGCGGTTCCCCCTCCTGGGGCGAACATCGTCAGTGGCATGTGGATCTTCAGGGTGAAACGGCCGCCAGGTTCTCCACCTGTCTTCAAGGTGCGGTACGTGGCTCGTGACTTCAGTCAGCGGCAGGGAGTTGACTACTTTCAGACCTTCTCTCCCACCCCGAAGATGACCATTCTTCGGTTGCTGCTGCACATAGCCGCTCAGCGCGACTACGAGCTTCACTCTCTTGACTTCCGCACTTCTTTCTTGCAGGGTAGCCTGCACGAGGAGATCTGGCTGCGCCGTCCACCTGGCTTCACTTGGACTTTCCCTCCTGGCACCAAGTGGAGCCTCCGACGGCCAGTCTACGGTCTCTGCCAGGCACCGCGTGAGTGGCACGACACACTGAGGACTACGCTTGTGGCTCTTGGGTTTGCTCCCTCTACTGCTGACCCGTCGTTGTTTTTGCGCACCGACACCTCTCTGCCGCCGTTCTACATCCTCGTGTACGTTGACGACTTGGTGTTTGCCACTGCTGACACTGCTGGACTCGCCTACGTGAAGTCCAAGCTGTAGAAGAGACACACGTGCACAGACCTGGGTGAACTGCGCAGCTACCTTGGCTTGCAGATCACCCAGGACAGAGCACGCCGCACCATCACCTTGACCCAGTCACACATGGTGCAGCAGGTCCTTCAGCGCTTCGGCTTCACGTACTCCTCGCCTCAGGCCACTCCTCTGTCTACTCGCCATTCGCTCTCAGCTCTGCCTTCGGATGAGTCCGTAGAGTCAAGTGGCCCGTACCCAGAGCTTGTTGGCTGCCTCATGTACCTAATAACCTGCACACGATCTGACCTTGCATACCCTCTTACCATTCTTGCTCGCTATGTTGCTCCTGGGAGACACCGACCAGAGCACATGGCTGCAGCGAAGAGGGTGTTGCGCTACTTGTGCAGTACGTCGGGCATGGGGCTAGTGCTTGGAGGGCGGAGTCTAGTGGTCCTCACTGGGCACGCAGACGCTTCTTGGGCTGACGACCAGGCTACGCAGCGGTCGTCGCAGGGTTACACCTTCAGTCTTGGTTCCGGCTTTGTTTCATGGCGGGCTACTCGCTCGTCTTGTGTTCTCGGCTCCAGTTGTGAGGCTGAGATCTACGCCGGGGCCATGGCTGCACAGGAGCTTCGCTGGCTCACCTACCTGCTGACCGACCTTGGAGAGCCGCCTCGTTCTTCTCCACTCTGTACGTAGACAACAAGGTCATGCTGGCCTTGTGTCGAGAGCAGCGCCTGGAGCACAGAACGAAGCACATTGCTCTCTGTTACTTTCTTGCTCGTGAGCTGCAGCAGCGTGGTCAGTTGCGACTTGCGTACGTGGCCTCTGAGGCCAACACTGCTGATGTTTTCACCAAGGCACTTCCACCTTGTGATCATCAGCGCTTCTGCACTTAGCTAGGTCTTGTGCCTGTCTTGCCTCACTTGCTCACCTCTTGATCTTGCTTGTACTCTTACATATATATATACCTGCTCTTGCTTGGTTAGCCTTATATATATGTGTGTGCACTCCTGCATGCGAACTGGCCTTGTGGCCTCGACCTTGTGCTCGGACTGTGTGGTGACGTTGTGATCCACCCTGAGCTTTGCTTTGCTTTGCTTGACTGGTCTTGTGACCCCTTGTTCTCCCCCATTTTGCCTATGGGGGTTTGTCAAATTACAATATTGTGTAGGCTATAGTGGGGTAGCCCATATGGGGTACACATTGCTAGGGTTGCATATTTGTATCACTTCCATTCATAGTTCATTCATTCTCGTTCCACTTTCCTCATTATAAGCACACCCCTGAAGGCTTACCGATTATAAGCGCCACCCTCTTCTTTTTTATTATAATTTTACTGAAATCGTTGTAACGAAACTCAACATTTTCATTCCCACATTTTGAATTCCGATGCCCCCTCACTCTCGCCTGGCTCACTGGCAACGTGTCCAGTCAGAATGAGCTGTAAAGGGCGCACGTTGACTCATTCTGGCTGTGTGTGTTGGCAGGGAATCAATCCTTGCCAACTTGCACGCGAGATTCTCAATCACAGCCTTGTTTAGTATAGTTTCACATTCTGATTGTGTGTGTTGGCAGGGAATCAATCCCTGCCAACTTGCATGCGAGATTCTCAATCGAACCCTGTATAGTTTCGACTCGATTCAATTCGCAAGAACGGGATCTACAGTTTGGTGGAAAAACGACGAATTTCATATATGCTATTATATAAGCACCGGCGCTTATAAAAATCCTCACTTATAAGCGCACCCCCTAAAAAAATGTGTTTGTTTATAACCCCAGGGGCGCTTCTATCCGGGGGCTGACGGTATAATCAGTGAGTGGAATGTCTCTATAGGATTGCAAATTCCGACTTGATGTCTAGGTTTCGGTACAATCAATCCACTGATGTCTTGCTATCAACCACCAAGAATGTGAACATTCTAGGAATTAAGCAATTGATACACCTCAGAACCATGGATAAACACTAACTGATACCAGTAGATGTGAATACACAGTGGCTTTGGCAAATAGATGTTGCTTGCTTCACCACCACCCAAACCGGCAGCTTCAGCTATTCAGCCAGCCCCTGGCAAATGCCTGAAATCTACGTCAGTGGCGGCAGGGGGCAACCTGATCTCACATGCCCTCTTGCTTCACCATCCCCCCTCCCATCGCCCCTCCCATCCCCCCACCAGAACTGTTCCCCCCAGCTTCAGCTATCCAGCTAGCCCCCAGCAGGAGTCTAAAGATTGCGTCAGTGGTGGCAGGGGGCAGGCGGAAGAGTCGATGCACTGCTGCTCGTGAAATGGCCCCTCCCGACGGGGCTGCTTGCTGCAAAATAACCTGTTCCGATGGGGGAGAGGGGATGGGGGATGGGGGGATGTAGGGAGAAAACGCAAGGAACATGCCGTCAGTGATGGCGGGGGCAGGCGGAAGAGTCGGTGGCACTGCTGCTCGTGAGATGGTCCCCCCTGAGAGGGCTGCTTGCTGCAAGATAACCTGATAAAATGGGTGGGACGGAAGGAGGGGATGGAAGGAAAGAGGAAGGGTACATGACGTGAGTGGTGGCAAGGGGCAGGCTGGAAGAGTCGGTGCACCGCTGCTCGTGAAATGGTTTCCCCTGACATCGCTGCTTGCTGTAGGATGACCGGATGGGAGGTAGAAGGGGTGGCCGAAGGGAGAGAAGACAGGGCACATGGTGTCAATGGTGGCTGGAGGAAGACGAAACTGTAAGTGCACTGCTGCTCCTGAGAAGGTCCCTCCTGGGAGCGCTGCTTGTTGCAAGATGAACTGATGGATGGGTGGGAGAATGGTTGGCGTGAGAAACGAGGCAGGGCACACACATCTTGTCAGTGGTGGATTGCGCAGGGAAAAGGGTCGGTGCACTTCTGCTTGTGACATGGGTGGTTGAAGCAGGCCCTTAGACAAGTCTTAACAAGCTAACCTGTTTGGCCCTCTTGAGCCTACTTAGTAGACTGGTCATACACAAAACTACAATAAGATTCTCACGTGCTTGGCCCGGAGGTAGTGTGTCGGCAGTAGTCAAGAGTTTAGGCATGCGGTCAGTGTGGCCTCATTAAGGCTCCTCACACGCCTACACAAAGAACCTCACCTGCTTGGTTCGGAGGTAGTGTGCTGGCAGCGTGCCGTGCGCGCGTGTGCATACACAGCTAATACTAATGAGTGTACACACTCTTTAAGTTCCTTAAAAGAGACATCATACACACACACGCGCGTGCTCACGCACGCACACACGCACGCACGCACGCACACACGCACACACAACGCACACGCACGCGCACACACACACACACACACACACACACACACACACACACACACACTAGGCGATTTAGCAGCACACTAAGGTAGTGGCCCAGCACACCAATCTCACCTGCTTGGCGCGGAGGTAGTGTGCTGGCAGCCAAGTTCTGAGGCCGGAATTGCGTGCATCAAAGTCAAACCTTCTTCACCAAACTCACCTGCTTGGCTCGAAGGTAGTGAGCTGGCAGCAGGCGCATGTGCGTGCACAGCTCACGCTCCTGAGCGGATGGCAGAGTTTGGCGTTGTTTGTCGTGATCCGGAAGACATGCACAAGTGGAAGGACAGCAAGTGGACACATGTGTTAGAGGGAGGAGAGAAGGGAGGTTGTGAGGAAGGGAAGAGGTTTGCTTTGAAGCATGGACTGAATAGAAAGGAGGAGTCAACAGAAGAAAGATGAAACGGTTTGGAGGCAGAGCGGAGCAGTCACAACAACACCGAGAGGCATGAAGGCAGCATGGAAAGGAGAATGGGAGGCATGTAGATGGTAGGAAGATACCCGCCCTTGTGATCTCACCTTGGCAGATATCATCATAGCGCAATATGATTAGAGCGCAACCCGATTAGAGCGAAATAATATATTGGGAATGGACCTCTCACCTTGGGTGACAGCAGGTCGCATCCAGGGTGGGAGGAGATGTCAAGAGCTGCTGAAGCGCCTCCTGATGATGCTGTGCTGATGGCTGGTGGAGCAAGTGGCAAGGGAGCAAAGAGGGAGAGGGAAAAGTGGCAGAATGGAGAAGAACAAGCAAGGAAGACGGAGCATGAGGCGATGAGAAAATGGGATATCTTGCTGATCGTGCTACGCCATTGGCTGTGAGTGCAATTGCAGCAGCAGCAACAGCAGCGGCAGCGGGGTTGTCCTTGTGGCACTGACTGCGATACATGTGTTGGTGCTAGCTAGCTTTCACACACCTGTGACAGAGAGTGGGTAACACACCTGTCGCGGAGGGTGGAAGGCATGCAATAGCAGCAGCGGCAGCGGCGGGGTTGTCCTTGTAATGCGCCTGGATGAACCTACGACCCTCTGCTAGAGACTTGCACCCCGCTGCTCTCAACTCCTGTTGTTGATGGGAGAGGATAAAAAGAGAGTACGTTAAGAGGAGCAGCAGCAGCAGCGGGGTTGTCCTTGTAATGTGCTTGAATGAACCGACGGCCCTCCGCCAGTGACTTGCACCCCGCTGCTCTCAGCTCCTAAAGGGGTTGGGAAAGTAATAGAAGAGAGTACAATAGAAGCAGCAGGGGCACCACTACGGGCGGGTTTGTCCTCGTAGTGAGCCTAAGTGAACCGACGGCCCTCTGCCAGCGAATTGCAACCAGCGAATGCCAGAAGCACTGAACCTGCAGCACGACCACTCTGTCTCTGCGTCGCTGCACCTGGGTGAGGCTCTGCACTAGCTCCTCCTCCTAGTGCTGCTTCTCTTTCCGACCGACCGACCACTCACCCCCACGAAAGCTTCTCTCGCCTGCAGCACGGCCACTCTACCTCTGAGTCTCTGCGCCTGAGTAAGGCTCTGCAGCAGCCTTTCATGCTCCTTTGAGCGTCAGATTAGGACTACTAGGTGCTATTTCAGACAAACTAGAAGCCTCACCTGCAGCACGGCCACTCTGTCTCTGAGTCTCTGCGCCTGGGTAAGGCTCTGCACCAGCCCCTCATGCTCCTCTGCACTGAGAAATCGCGCAAACACGCGGCACCGCAGAAACATCTCCCTCTCCTCCTTCGACCTTCTCCTCTCCCCACCGCCTCCTCGCTTCCCTCCGCGCTTCCCTCCCCCTTCCCCCTTCTCCACCCCACCCTCTCCCGCTTCTGCCCCCACCTCCCCCAGAGTTCCCCTTTCCCTCTCCCCTCCCTGTTCCGCACCATCCTCTCTCTTGTGTTGTTCATCTGTCCTGTCCCGGTCCCTAACTCTCTCCCTGCTGCCGGTGGTGGTTTCGGGTCGGATCGTTCCGTCCACTCTTCTCGGGTCCAGCAGGCCACGCTCCAAGATGAAGGCCTTGCGTCTTGACCGCTCTTCCAGCCTGAAGGGGAGAGGGGTGGGGGGAGAGGGGAGACGGGAGGAGCGAGAAGGAAATGCAGTGGAATGATGGTGCGTGAGTGACAACTCTTCTCGGGTCCAGCAGACCACGCTCCAAGATGAAGGCCTTGCGCCGTGACCGCTCTTCCAGCCTGACGCAGGGAGGGAGAATGGGGAGAGATGATGCTATGTCAGTGAAGGTGGTTTCCCAGCCTTGCTCCGTCCATTCTTCTCGTCTCAGGTCTAGCAGGCCACGTTCCAAGATGAAGGCCTTGCGCCGAGACCGCTCTTCCAGTCTGAAGAGGAGAGGGTTGGGGGAGAGGGGAGAGGGGAAGGTTCTGGTTTTGAGCCGACTCAAAAACGGATGAAGGCCTTGCGCCAGAACCGCTCTTCCAGCCTGTAGAACAGAAGGGAGGAGGGGAGGAGAGGGGGAGAGCGGGAGGCGGAGTGGGGGTAGACCGTGCAAGGGAAAATCTTTGTCACGCTCAATACGCATCAATCAGCCGAACCCCACACACCTGGAGTAGTAGATGTGCAGCATCTTGATCTTCAGTTGTCTATCCACACTTGAATCGGAATCCTTGAATTCCAGCTCTGCCAGCGGTGCCTCGGCCTCGTTGTCGTATTCCGGATCAAACTCGTTGCGCTTCGTGTTGTACCCGCTTGTGATTGGTGCCGCAGCGTCGTCTGCCTTGGTGCCTGGTTCGGGTCTGTGGTGGGGGATAACGGCCAACAGGGAGGAAAGAGAAGCAAAGAGGAGACCTTTTGAGTTGATTCAAGAGCCGAGGTGACTTGTCAGTGAGTTAACACAGAAGCCCCGGCTTGCTACTGGCTCTACCAGCGGTGCCTCTGCCTCGTTGTCCTATTCCGGGTCAAACTCGTTGTGCTTGGCGTTGTATTGTACCCGCTCGTGATTGGCGCCACACCACACCAGCATCGCCTGTCTTGGTGCCAGGCTCAGGCCTGTGGCGACGGAGATGATAGGCTTGAAAACCTCCATGCACTCGACTAGGTGACTCTTGAGTCGACTCTATAGTCACCTTGAAACCCTCCACGCACTGGACTCAAGGAATGTTCAACCACTCGACCACTGAAATGCGTTTTAAGATATCTTCAAAAGGTTGACACAGGGTTGTTTGTATGCACTCGGTTGGGGAAGCACTCACTTGACACCATGTCAATCAAGCCGAGTGTAGAGAGGGTGTTTTTGGGACGTCTCAAAAACACCCTCCCTACACGTCGGAAGCACTCACTTGACTTGACACCATGTCAATGAAGCTGAGTGTCATTGAAGTGGTGCTGACACCATGTCAGCAGCACTCGGCTCAATTCACCACTTCATGACACTCCATCCTCAACACTCCCTTGACCTGCCTGGGAATGCTGAACTGAGTTGCCTCTTGCACTTGCAGTGAGGTGTACATAAGGATTTTTGTGGACTCAACAGGCACTCACTTGACCACAGGAACGCTGAACAGAACTGCCTCCTGCGCCCTCGCTGCAGTCTCTGCCGCCTCCTGCTCCTTCATTGCCGCCTTGGCTGCTTCTGTGTCTGCTTGCGTGCGCAGGCGAGATAGGTCCTGGAGAGAGAGAGAGGCAGCGGCACAGGGGCGGGGGCATGGAGGAGGGAAATAAGGGTTAGACTCAAGTTAGCAGTCTCTGCTGCCTCTTGCTCCTCCATTCCCGCCTTGGCTGCTTCCGTGTCCACTTGCGTGCGCAGGTGAGGTGAGATAGATCCTGAGGGGCAGGGGCACATGAGGGAGGGACAGAGCAGGGAGGGATAGAGAGGGGCACGGGAGGTGCGCATGGGGGGATGAGGATCAGATTCAATTCAGGTCAGCAGTCTCTGCTGCCTCCTGCTCCTCCATTGCTGCCTTGGCTGCTTCGGTGTCCGTCTGCGTGCGCAGGCGAGATAGATCCTAGCAGGGAGGGAGAGACATGGGAGGAACATGGGAGGGGCATGGTAGGGAGGGAGGACATGCCAGGACACACACAGGAGGGAACTGAGGGTTGAAGCCAAGCCAAGAATCTCTGTTGCCTCGCCCTCCTCCATTGCTGCCTTGGCTTCTTCTGTGTCTGCTTGGGTTCACAGGCGTGTCAGGTCCTGGAGAGAGGCGGCGATACAGGAGGGACGGCAGTAAAGAGGGTGAGGAGGGTTAGAGGTCGACAGTAATCTCTGCTGCCTCCTCCTCCTCCATTGCCGCCTTGGCTGCTTCTGTTTCTGCTTGGGTGCGCAGGCGAGATAGATCCTAGAAAGAGAAGCAGGGAAACAGGAGGGACCAGACAAAGGAGGGACGAGGAAGGGACAAGGGAGGGAAAAACTGATTCCTGGGATTACGGAAAGAAGTGGGACTGCTGGCAGAGGGTCACAGGGCAACAGCAGGCAGTCGTAGAGTTAGTGAATGTAGCAGTAAGCATTTCCCACATGCCCACATGCCCACATGCCCACAAGGATATGTGGTTACAGAGTCAACTCACAGGCAGCGGCTGTGGTGTGAGCAGGTAAACATAGAGGTAGTGGTCGTGGCACTGCGCCTTGCTCTTCACATGCCCACACTACCACACATACGCACATGCACACAAGGCTACACGGTTCTACTACTCACAGGCAAGGGACCGGTTGGTGACAGCAGGTAGTCATAGAGGTAGTGGTCGTGGCACTGTGTCTTGCTCTTTGACCCCACGTGCTCCGCAATTTCCCCCCAGTTGCCCATTCCGTACATCTCCAGCGCCTGAAGTTCATGTGGGGAAAGGGGACGTAAAGAAATGAAGACGGGGAGCGCAGGAGGGAGGGACGAGGAGGTAGTGAGGGGGCTATCCCACGTGCTCCGCAATCTCCCCCCAGTTGCCCATTCCGCACATCTCCAGCGCCTGAGGGGGCACGGAGAGAGGCACATGAGAGGGAGGAGAAGAAGGGGGGAAGGGAGAAAGACCGGAGAGTTATCCTCAACCCATGTGCTACGCAACCTCCCCCCCATTGCCCATTCCGTGCATCTCGAGGGCCTGTGGGTTGGTGTGGGGTGGGTGGTAATTCGGTATGAGGGGGAAGGATATGGAGAGGAGAAGAAGATGGGAGAGCGGGTAAGAAGAAATATCATTACCACGTGTTCTGCAATCTTCCCCCCAGTTGCCCATTCTGTACATCTCCAGCGCCTGTGGGTTGGTGTGAAAGGGGGGAGAGAGGAGGTAAGGGGGGGGAAAGAAATAGGGAGACAGGGAAGAGAGGTAGAGGGGTTGGCTGACCCGCACAACAAGAGGTGCTCTTAGAAGCCCAAGAAACATTCTCGCACATGCCCGTGGAACATGCTCTGCTTTTGAGTCGACTCAAAAGCAGACTCATTCACGAGAATGCCCTGCCACCTTCTCCCAATTGCCATTCTACAATGAACCTTTACAGTAAACAAGGCAGCGTGGCTCACCTCGAGCAGCAGCATCTCCTCGTCAGCAGTCCAGTCCTCATGCACGAGAGGGAAGCTCATGGTGTCCTGGTGCGGTTGGTGGCGCACAGTCAGAATGCCTTCATGCAAAGTTAACGCATGTCAAATTGGTCGGGATCAGGAGAACATGAAACCATGGAAACACGAGCCTGATGGACCAACTATAGAACAAAGTGAGGGGAATTGGGAAGGTGGGCAGACTGGGAGTGGGAAGATGGACACTCTCCGTCTGCCCACCTTCCCACTCCCCGTCTGCCCACCTTCCCACTCCCCGTCTGCCCACCTTCCCACTCCCCGTCTGCCCACCTTCCCACTCCCCGTCTGCCTACCTTCCCATTTCCCATCTGCCCAGATTCCCACTCCCACTCTGCCCACCTTTTCACTCTCAGTCTGTCCACCTTCCCACTCCCTGTCTGCCCATCTTCCCACTCCCAGTCTAACCACCTTTCCACTCCCCGTCTGCCCACCTTTTCTCTTCCCGTCTGCCCACCTTTCCTCCTTCCCCCTCCCATTCCCCCTTTCTCCATCCCCTCCCTAAACCCTCTCCTCCCTCTCTTGTGAATCCCGTGCCCCTTACCACGCTCGCTTCAACTTCCCACCCCCCCTTCTCCCTCCCCTCCTCCCCCCCCTCCCCCTCCCCCCCTCCCCCTCCCCCTCCCCCTCCCCCTCCCCCTCCCCCTCCCCCTCCCCCTCCCCATCCCCCTCCCCCTCCCCTGACCCCTCTCCCTCGCACTCCTTCTCCCCCTTCCCCCCCTCCCCTCCCCGCTCACGATGATGTGGTAAGGGGTGGGAGGCAGAGTGGGGGTAAGCAGCAGCGCCTTTTCTTTTCCCCCTCCCTTTCCATCACCCTCCTCCTCCCCCTCCCCCCCCGTCCCTTCTCCCCACTCACCATGACATGATAGGGGTGCGAGGCGGAGTGCGGGTGGGCAGCAGCGCCCACGGAGAAGCATTCAACGCAGAGGTCAAAGTCCACACACGCCGACACTTCACCCCCTTCCTCCCTCCTCCTTTCCCCCCTCCCCCTCCCCCTGCAAATGCCCCCAGCCCCCTTCCCCACCCACCTCCCACTCACCATGACATGATAGGGGTGCGAGGCGGAGTGCGGGTGGGCAGCGGCGCCCACGGAGAAGCATTCAACGCAGAGGTCAAAGTCAACACACGCCGCACACTTCACGCGCACCTCCCCTGTCACATCCCTGTGGCAGTAGTTGCAGTGATACACGCCCTTCCGCGCGCTCCCCCCTGTTCCCCCTGCTCCCCCCCCCTCCCCCCGATCCCCCCCCACCCCCTGCTGCTGCGCCTGCGCCTTCCCCCCCCGCTCCTGCGCCTCCCCCCCCGCTGCTACCTCCCCCCACAGCATCTTGCCAGCTTGTGGTGGCATAGCGGCGGCGCTTGGGTCTGGGGGAAGGGGAGGGGAGAGGGAAGGGGAGGTGGAAGCTCGAGTTAGGAAAGAAACGGGGGAAAGGAATGGTTGAGGGGGCAAGATGCGTCCCCCTCCCCCTCAGCTCCTTAACGGGAGTTGGGAGGGTTTGCAGAGGAAAGGGTGAGTGGGAAAAAGGGGAGGTGAGGGGTAGAAAGGAAAGATGCAAACCCAGCTCCCCCCGCCCACAGCGTCCTGCCAGCAACATACCATCCACCGGAGTGTGATCTTATCTTACCCATTAGTTCAACCGTTACTAGCACCAGCCAGAGCACACAGCACCCCTCACCCCTATTACCTCATCCGTTACTCGCACCAGCAACATACCATCCACCGCACAGAGCACCACCTTACCTAGAACCCCCACCAGGAGCGTGATCCTCTTCTCTACTTGTATTCCCCATTAGCTCAACCGTTTCTAGCACCAGCAACACACAGCACCCCTCACCTGGAACCCCCACTAGGAGTGCGATCCTCCTCCCTGTCTCCCCTATTAGCTGATCCGTTAATCGCACCAGCAACATACCATCCACCGCACAGAGCACCCCCTCCCTCACCTCGAGCCCCCACTAGGGGCGTGGTCCTCCTCCCCGGCTCCCCTCGACCGACCCATTGGACCCGAGCCTCACAGTCGGAGGCTTGGAAACTTGGGAGGCTCGGAGACTACAAGGCTCGGAATAGAAGACTTCGAGATGAGGAAACTCAGAAACTCAAAGACGTCGCAGGATTCACGGACGCAGATTCGAGAGTCAGCGAAACGATGAACGATTTCAATCGCGGATTCGATTCGGCTGTTTTCGCCACCGTCTGAACGAACCCCGTAACTAAATTAGTTGCACGTAGGAATGCAGACAGCAAGTCGGTACTACCTATAACATCGGAGGACTCTTAGGCAGTCTGGTGCTGGGACGGAGGGGTACACGGTAAGCTAGTTGTCGCTCGAAGATAACCAGATAGCAGCGGCGACGGCGAACCGATAGGCTGGTAGTGGTAACCACTGGGTAACCACCTGGTACCAAATGGTTATGATTTACACGAAATGTTGCGAAATGAGAGGTAATTGTATCTTGCGCAGTGCAATAAAGGCGGAATCTCGTTCCGGTCGGCAACGGTGATACGAGCTTGTGACTGTAACGACAGGTCAATACCTCACAGCGAAGCTATGGAACTAAGCGCGACGCGAGATGAGGGTGTCGCGAAGGCGGCCTCGTCGAAAGAAAGTCAATGCCCACATGCGGATACAATCGGCGCGCGTCAGCGCAACATGCGGGCAGCCATGGCGGTTTTGGCGGGAAAGATTGCTGAAGCGTCACCAGTTGCGATTCGCTATAAAAAGCTTTGAATACAAAATTGGCTTTTACACGAATTTTCAAGAGAAGATTTCACCAACCCTTCAAGGTATAGAATATCTTTCTCTCCTTGTATTGTAGACAATGTGCTCTCCTTTTGTTACGTCTATGTAACCAAATGGATGAATGCAATACACGATTATGGCACTCACTCTTCGTTTCACCATATGGCACAACGCATGGTACATGCGATAATGCCATCTGTACTGTTACAATTCTTTGTTACGTCATCATTTCCTGTAGTCTTAGCGCAGCAACTAACATCTCATTCCATGTGTCCGACACTCCAGGCACACAAAAGTGACTGCAATCTTCCTTTTTTGTCTCCCCCACACGCATTTCTGCAGGGAGGGAAGAGCCCACATGAGCATCAACACGAGCATCAGTTAACCCCCCTGCTTGCAGCAACACAACCCTGTCTCCCATCCCAATCTCCCTCTCAACCACCCTTTCCATCTGCCCCACACTCGACTGCACCCACTCTCTCCCTCCTCTCCCTCTCCTGCCGCCACCGCCACCGCTGCCACCGTTGCTGGTGTGCCTGCTCCTCCCCTCCCTCTTCCAACCACTCTCTCGGCCTCGAAAACAAGCTACACTGTCCGTTTTCTTTACATGTGGCGTCGTCTGGCAGGCAGAGCGAGGTATGGTTGCCCTGGTCTGCCCGGAAATAATGTTCTCGGGGTAGCCCGAGGAAAAAAGTTGGGAGAGATTCAGCGGTGGGTTGGGAGGAGAGGAAGTGGTGCAGCATGCGTAGCGTCTTGGTGAAAGCTGATACCGGGTTTAGGGTTACCCCTTTAACTGCTCCACCTTCCTCAATGGAGTCGACCTGACCGACTGAAGAGCTCGCTTCAGACATATCCTCTTGAACACTGTCAGATTCATCCGCCACGAATGTACCGCCCCGTTGCTTCTCTGGCACTTCTTCATTTTCCACCGCCCTATCTTCCTCAAGAAAGTTCCCATTCCCTTGACTGACTAAAGAGCCCGCTTCAAACATTTCCTCTGGGACTATGTCAGATTCATCCGCCATGAATGAACCGCCTTGCTGCCGCACCTCCCCCTCCTCTGCTGTCACATCACCCTCCTCCATGATCAATCCACCCACCGACGCGTTTTGAGGCGCCTCAGTAAAGGAACCACTGCCCTGCTGCTGCACCTCCCCCTCCTCTATTCTCGCATCACCGCCCTTGATTATCGATGCTCCATCCACCTCATCTGCACCGTCCATGCTACGAACAATCCCTGCTTCATCCGAGCCGTCCGCGCTACGAAAGGCTCCCACCTCATCTGAGCTGCCCATGCCACCAACGGTCCCTGCTTCATCTGAACCCTCATCTGAGCCGTCCGTTTTACGGAAGGCCCCCACCTCATCTGAGCCGTCCGTGCTATCAAGCATCAACATGTTGCCTTCCTTGGGCCTGTTGGAGTCACTTTCAACCTTCTCCCTCGGGACACTCTCTGTGCTTTCTGGAACGCTCAGCAGGTGCCGGTGCTGCCACAGCCACTTGCCAATCCTCCCCCTCCCTCTCCCTCTCCTACTCCTCTCCCCACCTTTCCTCCTCTCCTTGTGACTGCCCCTGGCACCCCCACCGGCGATGCTAGAAGGATTGACGCTGAGGTTGCTATGGCTCCCATTACTGATGCTATGGACGATGCTTGTGGTGTTACCAGAACTGCTAGTAGGGAAACCATTGCTGCTGGCGCTGTTGCTGCTTTCCGGAACGCTGCCGCTGCCACTGTTACTACCGCTGCTGTTGCTGCTCCTGCTGCTGTTGTCACTCTCGATACTGTCACTCTGCAGAATGGTATCATCATCACCAAAGTCGCCCATTCGCAACTCCCCTCCTGCAAACGTATCAGGCAGAAAACCACTGTTGGTGTCCCCTCCTCCTCCACTTCTCGTCTGGCCACTGTTATCACCACCCTGTTTCATCACCCACTCCACTTTTTCCCCAGCCTTCTGCCTTTTACCCTCGCCTTGCTTCCCTTGCCTCTTGCCTTGCTTCCCTTGCCCCTTGCCTTGCTTTACCTGGCCCCCAGACCCAGAATCCTGCTTTTCCCATCGCTTTCTCTCACCTTCCTTGACTCCTTTCTGTCCTGCAGCCTTCCTCAATCGTTCGCCCTTCCCTCCTCCTCCCCCTCGTGCACCCGTAATGGGCACCGCTGCTACAGCTTTTCTTTGCTCCTTCACCTTATCACCCCTACTCTCTCCTTTCCCCCCTTCTTTCTTTGACTCACTGCCTGCCTGCTTTCCTGTCCCTCCACCTTTTTGCCCAGCTTTACTATTGCCTCCCAATGGCATCCCAGCATTCCCTTTGTTTCTCGCACTGATTTTGCTATCCCCCCCACTGTTCCCCTTCTTTCCCACACCGTTCCTTTTGTTTCCCTGACCGGCCTCCTTGCTCCCCCCACCCTTGCACTGATTCCCCCTCACATTTCCTTGATTACCACCACTGTCGCCTTTGCTGTTCACACCATTGACTCCATTTACCCCACTGCTTCCCTTCTTCCCTCCACCATTCCCAACTTTTTCCCCGCCATTCCCCATATTCTCCCCACCATTCCCCTTCTTCTCCCCACCATTCCCCTTCTTCTCCCCACCCTTTCCCTTCCCCTTATTCCCCCCGCCATTCCCCCCAGCTCCCCCACCAGCCTCCCCTTTTCCCCCACCAGCCTTCCCCTTTCCCCTGCCAACCTCCCCTTTTCCCCCACCAGCCATCCACTTTCCCCCATCAGCCTCCCCCTTTCCCCCACCAGCCTCCACCATTCCCCCACCAACCTCCGCCTTGCTTCCCACGTCCACTTCCCCTTCATGCATCCCTCCCTTCGCTCCTCCCTCAACTTCTTTATCAGCCACAGCAGCAGAAACCTTTGATTCATTCGAAGCACTCTGCCCCTTCTGCCCCTTCTGCCCTTTCTTCCCCTCCTGAACCTTCTGCCCCTTCTGCCCCTCTTGCCCCTTCTGCCCCTCCTGCCACTCCTCCTGCCCCGTCTGCCCCTTCTGCCCCTTCTGCCCTTCCTTCCCCTCATTCGCCTTCTGACCCTCCTTCCCCTGCTGCCCCTCCTGAGAAGCATGTAAACGCGCCCTATGCTCCTGCCACCGCCGCTGCAGCCCCACCCACGCCCCTCCCGTGTGAATCACCAGCACATGCGGCTGTGCTGCCACCACATACGCTGCCCACGCATCCAACCGCACCACCCGTACCGCTCCCAACCCCTCTGAACCTGGCTTTGCCGCTCCGGACCTGTCCGAACCCGGTTCCACCGCATTCAACCCATTCGAGCCTGGCTCCTGGCTGGTTTCAGAAGTATCTGTGAGAAGACTTCTGCCAATGCCTGCGTTGCTACTGCTACTAAAGCTAGCAACGATATTGGTGGCAGTAATACTGCTGTTATTAATGCCCTCAGACATATTCTTGGCCAATAAAGGATTAGCCACATCTGGAACGCCCCTATCTGCAGCAGGTGTGTCTGGGGCAGGTGTATCTGATTGCTCAGGTGAAGGGGCTGTTTCCAGGACGGTTAGAAAGTCAGAGTGGAAAAAGTCAAGACTGGTGTTGGTGAGGGGGAATGTATACTGGAAGACTAGAGGAGAGGGGGCTTGGAACTTGGAGCCTGCAGGGGAAGGAACTGAGGAGGAAGAAGAGGTGGAGGAGGGGGGAGAGGAGGAGGATGAGGATAGAAAGGAGGGAGGCGAGGAAGGGGGGTGGAGAAGGGAGGGGAAGGTGCAGTTGAGTCGCTCTGTTGGCATGCTGTGATTGGGTGGGAGGGACGGACCCACGGAGAGCAGGCAGAGCAGCGACTGGAACATCTGCACGCAAGGAACTGAGGGAATGCAGTAATTGGAGAGGGGATAGATGCAGGATACGCGGCAGGAGGAGGGGGAAAGGGAGGAGACGTTCCGGTGGTTGTTAGGGATGGGCATTGAAAGGCAGAGGACAAAGGAGGGAAATGTCGAGTCCCCCCAAGATTTTCTTTTAGGCGCTTCAATTTTTTTTTGGAACGTACCGAGAGCAGGGTAGAGTCGCCCACGAAGACGATCCAACGGTTCTGGAAAGCCTCGAAAAAGCGATCCGCTCGAAAGCGAGTGAATGGGTGGGCGCAGTCACTCTCGCGCCATGCGAAGTGGAGATAATCAAAGTCTGTGCGGCCATTCTCCTGAAATATTGGGATGGGGGGGAGGAGAATGATTGGATGGGAGGGTGTAGTCGAACTCGCGCCATATGAAGTGAGGAACAAAGACTCTTCTGCTGCATAAAACGGATTGGATACGCCCTTTTTCTTTTGCTCAAAGCTCACTCACCCTCCCTCCGCACCAGGCAGTTGAATGTGCCACTAATGAAGGGACAGTCTTCTGCTGCGTACAGCGGATACCCCTCCCTCTCCACTTGCCAGTCCCCCCTCCCCAGCTCACACACTCCCTCCCCCCTCCTCGGCCTCCACACCTCCCCCTTTCTCACTCCCCACCCACTCCCCCCCACAATCCCTCCTACTTTCCCTCCTCCTCTTCCTCCGCTTCCTTGTCCTTTCTCCCCTGCAGCAGCTGAAAGCGCCTCAACGGGGGTGTGATTGAAGCGAAGGGCGCGGAAGTGCGGGTGGGAGGAGGTGGAGAGGTGGAGCATAACCCACGGCATACGAGGGAAAAGAACATCACAGCACACGCGCTCCAAGCAGCCGCCACCACCACCAGCACCCGCAGCAGCACCACCGCCGCCTGGGGTAACCCTTCCTGTAGCCTGCTCACCCAGTGCTTGCGTGCTTGTAACGCTGCCACAACTGCAGCGGCGCCTGCGGATGTGACAGTACCGAATGGGTTTTTCTTCCCGTTTGCGACTGCCTGAGTGCTGGTGGTTGGATTTGGGCCGCCTGGGCCTAATTCCGATAGTGTACTGTAACCGTTTGGGCCTGATTCCGAGATTAATCCGAGGTCTGAGCTTATACCGAGTTCAGATCTTGTAGCGAAGTATCCCGGACGTCGGATCGCCGGAGCTGGGGCGACGGCAGTGCTGCTTCCCTGCGGAGCGACGTGAGGCTGGGGTAGGCTGTGCGCGGGCGAATGGTCCAACACGGCCCTCGGTATTGCCGACGTCCGCGTTGATTCTGATTTTGATTCTGAGTCTGATGCTGATGCGGACACTGTTGCTGATTTTGATTCTGATGCTGTTGGGGGAAACCCACTTGCTGATGGAACATCCGCGGGAAATGCCGGTGACACGGCTGGCCCAATAGATGCTACTCCGGCGGATTCCGTTCTTGATGAAACCGTCGCCGTTGAAGCTCCCGTAGCTGGAGATCGCATTCCTGGCTCAGCAAAAAAAAACGTTGCTAGCGTTGCGTCGTTCGCTAATGCAGTGCCTCGTTCCATTGATAAGGTAATCCTAGCGGCATGAGGTTCCGTCCTCAAAATCTTAGTTGCATCCAGCTCCTTCCCATGTGAGAACGCAGCTTGTTTCTTCCCCATACTGCCACCGTTATTGTTCCGCCCGAGGCCCTAATTTTAACATCTGGGACTAGGTTGCCGCGTTTCACGCTACCCGTAGCTCGGAAACACTGACATGTTCTATTATGGACCTTCGAGAGCTTCCAGCAGTAACAGAGAATCAGGAATGAGGGTGCGTATTTCTAGTGGCTGTTCAGCGATTGTATGGTAACAAAATGTCTTCGCTGGGTGTGAGTGGCTACCTGTCCCACATCCTGTTTTCGCACGGATTTGCGAGTAGGCGAGCTTGAAAGCACAGAAATATCACTTTGTTTCATCTTCCAGGAACTGGGACATGGGCGTAGCAGAAAACCTTTTAATCGTGCTGAAACGCGGGTAATGCAATAGTCGAACAGAGAGCCGCGTGCTCTTTGAACTCTCGTCACAGAACGCAACCCGTCGCAGTGAATACGCCCCAATAATCTCATATGTGTTTGGCTTGTCATCTCATCCACCAGAAGTTCATCCGGTGCGATGCAATCCAAAGCGGTAAAGAATGGCATCCACAAGCCATGCCCAAACCCACCAACACACCCCACCCCACCTCGTACTTCCCAGATTCTCCGTTGTTTTGTTCAAAAGGCTAAGCGCATCGACCCTTCCTCTTGTCAGCAGCGTATTCGAGTTAATAATGCCGATGGCGACCGCAAGGCTTTTGGAGGAGATCGTGAGCGCTGGGACGAGATTGGCCTTTCGATTCGACGATGCCAGGAGGGAGTTGGAAGCGGAAAAGCGGCAGAGAAGGGATTTTACGGAGAACCCAATGCTGACTGATAGATTGGAAAGCTTAAGAGACACTTGTGAGAGAAATGAGGGAGGAAAACAATAGGGCTATTATCGAGCTTAAGAATGAGCTAGCAGGTGAGAGGGCTGCGAGGGAGGAAAAGGAAAAGGAGGTGGATTTATTGACAGTGCGACTCTCGCAGGCAGAGGAATTGCTTGCGCATCAGAAGGAGGATATGTGCAAGATCTGGGAGGTGAGCTGAAAAGTTTCTTCAAGCGTATTACCTAAACGTGAATATCACGATGTCTACTTACCCTAGTTCTAGCGTTTCCACACGATGTGCTTATTTCAGGCGATTTCTCGGGCTTTTTGTCAGTCAACAACTGGTATAGTTGCTCAGGATGAAATTCGCGTCTCAAATAAGGAACGGGAATCACTTTTGTCTACATTGGTAGCACAATCGGCGCAGGCAGTAAAAACGCTGGTGCAGCAAAAGGAGGAAACAAAGAAGGTCTGGGAGGGGAGTAGTTAGCTTGTCATGGGGTTTGTGCTTGAGCATGCGGCGTCTTCTTGTCTGATTGCCAGACTACTAATTTCCAGGCATTGATGTTTTCAGGCCATTTATTTGACTTGGAAACAGCGATCGATCATTGGGCTACCGACCGATGCAGATGCGAAGATCATTCATGCTCATCCTAGCACAACGGTCATGGAGCTAAGCTATAACGATGGATCAAATAGTGAACTTGGTTTTTTTCACCTCCCATACTTGGCATCCCTAAAGACCCTCAAGATTTCTACTAGCTTCAGCATAATGGCCTTGAGGCACCTCTACACCATGACATGGCTGGAGGAATTGACACTCGAGTCACACGATTTTTCCGATTCATCGGTTCTGGGAATCAGCAATCTGACGGCTCTCCATCGACTTGATTTGATCGGGACACAGGTTACAGATGCCGAGCTTTCCAATTTGACATGCCGTGGGTCCCTCAAAGTCCTTGTTCTTTCTCATGACCAGAATACGTCATGCCATGCCCGAAGCCGTTTTTCATCAGCTGGCATGTTGCACGTGCAGAAGCTGACAAGCCTTGAAGCACTGGATATCAGTGCGTGTAATGTGAGTGATAATGGGTTGGGTCATCTTGTGCCTCTGTCACAGCTGACATGGCTCAGCCTGCCAAAGCACATCACTGACCAGGGTATGGAGCACCTAAAGCGGTTCAAATTCCTCAAGACCCTTTGGTTGAGGACCGTCTCTCAAGATTATCAGTGTGTCATCAGGTGCCTGAAGGCCCTTCCGTGTCTTGAGAAGGTTGGATTACCGAACTGGCAGGCAGCAGATAGGGTTTTAGAGGACCTTCGCAATGTGAATGTTGACGTATCCCCCCAGATAGGGGAGGAGCATTTCATTGGCCCGCGGGCTTAACACGAGACAAAGGGGAAATAAGCCAGCCACCTTCCGATTATGCTGTTGAGGTACTACATAACGACACTGAGTTTTCTCCCATAATAGCTTACTGTAGGAATAATTGTTTTTTCCTTTTTTGGAAATTTCCCAACTTTGTTACATAACAGATGCAACTGTGCATTCGTTTTACTCCCTTCCACGTTTGAATGGTCTATCCTGTCTACACAAGGGCTAGTTTTCATCATTTTTTACTTCTGATATGAACATACAGTACAAAGAAATGATCGTGGATCTAGAATCGATTCCACTTTTACGTGCCTTGTCTCAATGTTAGGCTCCTGAATCATATCCTTGATTTTTCCGTGTGCACAGAGGCCACTTGTCACACCTGTCCCTGACCTCATGGGCGCACGCGTTGCACAACATGTGGCCACATGGCACAAATGCTGCCTTCCTCCGCGGCCTCTCCATGCACACACAGCACACCGCCTCCCCGTCCTCCCCCTCCTCCCCTCTGCCACCCTTGTCACAAGAATCCATTACTCCCTTCTTCCTCCTGCTGTCTCTCCCCCTTTTCTCACATCCACCCCCCCACCCCCGTTTGCCCCTTCGCCCCTCATCCTCCTCTGCTCCTCCCCTCTGCCTCTCCACCCCCTATGCGCGTGTTGGCTCTGGGTGCGTCGAGATGGGACCTGGATTGGTGGGTCCACCAGTACTGCTACCAGTGGCACTCCTCCTCCTGCTCCTGATACGGTACGTGATTATGTGCCTGCTACAGTGCCTGCTACAGTGCCGCTATGGTACCCCACCTTCCCCTGCCTCAGAATTGCCATCGCTGCTGTGCCAACACTCGGGCTGATGCTGAAAGCCTCATAGGGACAGACGGTTCAAGGTCAAAATGCTGCATATGTATAACTCTTCAGGTGTACTTAGTTAATTTTACTATGCATAGGTAGATCCACTCTGAGACCCCACAAATATAAGGTGTAACGTAACTTAAGGTGTAACGTAACTCTAGGTGTAACGTAACTTAAGGTGTAACTAACGGAAGGTGTAACACAACGTGTAAGGCCTCAGAGGAGCCACCTTCTCTCACATAGCATCATCTCCCCTCCTCCCTCCTCTCCGTCCTCTCTTCTCCCTCTCCGTTTTAAGCTGGAGGAATGGTCCCGGCGCAAGGCCGTTATCCTGGAGCACGATCTGCTGGAGCAACCACTCAAACAGCATCATTCCACTACAAACCCTTTCCAAACCCCCCCCCTCCCCCCCTCTCTGCTCTTCAAAAGGAGTCCTCTCCCTTTCAGGCAGAAGGTCTTCATCCTAGAGCAGGGTCTGCTGGACTCGAGAAGAGTGGATGGGACGATTCGACCCGAAACCAATACCAGCAGCAGCAGGGGCAGGGAGTAGGACAGTGCTGCGGATGAAAGCAAAAAGTGGAAGTGGCGGAACGGGGAGGGGAAAGGGAGGGCGGAGGTGAAAGGGAGATGGGGGCAAAGGCGGGAGAAGTAGGGGGGGAGAAGGGGGAAGGGGAGGGAAACACGGAGGAGGGAAGCGATTAGGCAGCAGCGGGGAGATGAGGAGACCAAAAGAGGAAAGGGAGATGTTTCTGCGGTGCCGCGTGTTTGTGCGGTTTCTGAGCGCTGAGGAACACGAGGGGCTGGTGCAGAGCCTTACCCAGGTGCAAAGGCTGAGGGATAGAGTGGCTGTGCTACAGGTGAGAGGGTGAGGTGATGACTGAGGTGGTCTGGTCCAGAGGATGGGCCCGGGAGAGGAGAAGGTCGAAGGAGGAGAGGGAGATGTTTCTGCGGTGCCGCGTGTTTGCGAGGTTTCCGAGTTCAGAAGAGCACGAGGGGCTGGTGCAGAGCTTGACACAGGCGCAAAGGCTTAGAGACAGAGTGGCTGTGCTACATGTGAGAAGGTAGTGAAGGTTTTGGTTCCCCTCGAGTCATCTTGGAGAGTGTGTGGGTTTCTGAGTGCTAAGGAGCACGAGGGGCTGGCACAGAGCCTTACTCAGGCACACAGGCCTATGCTGCGCCTGACGCGTCAAGCGTTTTTGACGCTGGCGTCTGGACGGGGCGTCCAGACGCTTGACGCCCGGTGCCCTCTGCCCTGGACGCCCGCTTGACGCTAGTCCGGGCAGGGCAAAAATGTTTTCCGGGCAGGGGTAAAAAAACCTGCCTAGTAAGGATACGCAGGGGTTAGAATGCAAGAAGTTAACATTTGTCACCTATAGTTATAAATACTCCATAATATCCAGAAAATCCTGAAAATCTCCAGAAGGCGTGGAGGCACTAACAGAATGACCGGCGGGACTAGGAGTTGACATGATATCTTAATCGCCTTAACCTAATTTTAGCTAGGAAGGCTTAGTAGCGTGACTGGAGAATTCTAGTGTAAGGAATGCTTGACAATGTCGAGAGAAATAGATCTGGGTAATGTCGACCTAGATCTGGTTCTCTAGTTTAGTTGGGGGTCGACCAGGTTGGGAGAGGTAGATGTGGATGGGTACAAATGTGTGGGGGGGAATAAGTGAGGGTTGCGTTTTTTAGGTCAAAAACGCGGCCCCCAGATGGCAATTTCATCGTCAATTCTGGTCGCAATGAAATCGCGAGTCAATTTCGTGCAGGAGAATTTTTTTTCGGGCTGCCCGAAATTTTTTTCCCCGAACGTCCAGCGTCAAACCGATTTGACGCGTCCAGCGTCCGGACGTTCACGTCCGGACGCTGGACGCTGCCCTTCCAGGGCGTCAGGCGCAACATAGACACAGGCTGCGAGACAGAGTAGCCGTGCTGCAGGTGAGAGGGTAATGTGTTCAGTGCTCTTTGACTCAATGTGGTGAGAATGTAGGGGTGTGAGTGTAGAGGAACATGAGGGGCTGGTGCAGAGTCTGACGCAGGCGCAGAGACTGCGAGACAGAGTGGCCGTTCTGCAGGTGAGAGGGTAATGAAGGGTTCAGTGCCCCTTGAGCCAACTCAAAGAGGAGTGTGCCAAGGAGCATTAAGCTGGGGAAGAGTTTGACCCAGGCGCAGAGGCTGAGAGACAGAGTGGTTGTGCTGCAGGCAGGTGAGGCTTCTAGTCTGTCCGAAATAACACCTAGTAGTCCTGATGATATGGCGCTCACAGGAGCACGAGGGGCATGGTTCAGAGACTGACTCAGGCGCAGGGGCTGCGAGACAGAGTGGCCGTGCTGCAAGTGAGACAAGTAGTTTTACTGAAATATCACCAAGTAGTAGTGCTGATTTGGAGTGCGGAAGAACACGAGGGGCTGGTGCGGAGTTTGATGCATGTGCAGAGGATGCGAGACAGAGTAGCTGTGCTGACGATGTGACGTCTCAAAAGTCACAACCAGCTCCAAGTCACAACCGAGGGCCATTAGCTCCAAATGAATTCTCCTTTTTCTTCTTCTTTTTTCCTTCCTCCTTTCCCCTCCTCGCCCATCCCCTCCCATCCCCTCCCATCCCCTCCCATCCCCTCGCATCCCCTCGCATCCCCTTGCATCCCCCCATTCCCTCCATTCCCTCCCACCCCCTCCCGTCCCTTCCAGGAGTTGAGAGCAGCGGGGTGCAGTCATTGGCAGAGGGGCGTCGGTTCATCCAGGCTCACTACAAGGACAACCCTGCCGCTGCTGCTGCCGCTGTTGCTTCTGCTAATGATGTTCTTTCTGCTACTGCCTTACCTCTCTTTTCTGTCTGCCCCTCCCGTCCCTTCCAGGAGTTGAGAGCAGCGGGGTGCAAGTCACTGGCAGAGGGGCGTCGGCTCACTACAAGGACAACCCCGCCGCTGCTGCTGCTGCCATCGCGTGCCTTCCACCCTCCGCCACAGGTGGGGTTTGCACCCTCCGCCACGAGTGTGCGAAAAGTAGCTAGCACGAACAGATGCATTTCAGTCAGTTCTACAAGGAAAACTCTGTTTCTGCAACCCCGCTGCTGCTGCTGCTGCCATCGCGTGCCTTCCCACCACCTCTTGTTGCACGTTCATGCTCTTTTACCGAGCTCTTCTTTTCTCCCCTCGCTTTCGTTCTTTGACAGTTGCACTCACAGCAACCAGCACAGCACCATCAGCAAGAGGTCCTTCCTCATCGCCTCATGCTCCATCTTCCCTGCTCCAGTGTCCCGCTTGTTCTTCTCCATTCTGCCACTTTTCCCTCTCTCTCTTTGCTCCCTTGCCACTTGCGCCACCAGCCATCAGCACAGCATCAGCAGGAGGCGCTTCAGCAGCTCTTGACATCTCCTCCCACCCAGGATGCGACCTGCTGTCACCCAAGGTGAGAGGTCCATTCCCAATATATTATTTCGCTCTAATCGGGTTGCGCTCTAATTATATTGCGCTATGATGATATCTGCCAAGTTGAGATCACAAGATCTACATGCCTCCCATTCTCCTTTCCATGCTGCCTTCATGCCTCTCTGTGCTGTTGTGACTGCTCCGCTCTGCCTCCAAACCATTTCATCTTTCTTCTGTTGACTCCTCCTTTCTTTTTCAGTCCATGCATTGAAGCAAGCCTCTTCCCTTCCACACAACCTCCCTTCTCTCCTCCCTCAAACCCATGCGTCCACTTGCCGTTCTTCCTGTTGTGCATCCCTTATGGATCATGACAAACAACGTCATCCACCCACACGGAAAACGCCAAACACTGCCATGCGCTCAGGAGCGTGAGCTATGCACACACATGCGCCTGCTGCCAGCACACTACCTCCGGACCAAGCAGGTGAGACTGGTAGAGTGGCTTAGGAGCTGCAGGATGGTTTTTCCTGACAAAGTTCGTCTCCTGTGTTCACGCACATGCGCCTGCTGCCAGCACACTACCTCCGGGCCAAGCAGGTGAGATCCGTGAGCTGGGTCACTATCTTTAGTGTGCTATGAAGTATCCTAGTGTGTGTGCATGCAAGTGGGTGAGCTGTGCACACACATGCGCCTGCTGCCAGCACACTACCTCCGCGCCAAGCAAGTGAGATCCGTGTGCTAGGCCACTACCTTTATCTGCGACTAAGTAGCCTAGTGTGTGAGTGTACGATGCGTCTACTAAAAGGTAGCTGTGCACGCGCATGCGCCTGCTACCAGCACACTACCTCTGGGCCAAGCAGGTGAAATTCTCCGAGTTTCTCAGGACAGATTAACAGCAAGCGGGTGGTTTTGTTGAAGACGAGCTTTGATGCTTGCCCTCACAACTCTATTCGGGCGCCATGAGTTGACTGCTGCCAGCACACTACCATCTTCTGGCCAAGCAGGTGAATTTTCCTTTGTACTTGTGTGTATGACCTGTACGTTAAGTAAGCTCAGGAGGAACAAACAGGTTAGCTTGTTACAACTTGTTTACGGGCCTGCTTCAAGCACCCGCTGTTGATGCCTGGTGCCCTGGATTTTGCCTTGCACCATTTTGCCTTCCCACCCTGTCGCTTTCCACCCATCATCTCCCCCGCCGACCCGTTTCATCAGGTCATCTTGCCGCAAGCAGCCGTGTCAGGGGGGTCATTTCACGAGCAGCGGTGCACCGACTCTTTCGCCTGATCAATCCACCACTGGCAACATGTGTGTTCCCTGCTGCCTCGTTTCTTACACCAACCATTCTCCCACCTACACTCATCAGGTCATCTTACAGCAAGCAGCACTCTAAGGGGGAGCCATCTCACGAGCAGCAGTGCACCGAGTCTTCCTCCTGCCCCCCGCCACCACTGACGGCAGGCACCCTGCCATTTCTTAAGGCATCCCCCCCTCCCCATCCCATCAGGTCATCTTACAGCAAGCAGCACTCTCAGGGGGAGCCATCTCACGAGCAGTAGTGCACCGAGTCTTCCTCCTGCCCCCCGCCACCACTGACGGCAGGCACCCTGCCATTTCTTAATGCATCCCCCCCTCCCCATCCCATCAGGTCATCTTACAGCAAGCAGCACTCTCAGGGGGAGCCATCTCACGAGCAGCAGTGAATCGACTGTTCCGCCTGCCTCCCGCCACTACTGACAACATGTGTGTGCCTGGCCTTGTTTCTCACACCATCCTCCCCTTGTCCGCCCATCCCATCAGGTCGTCCTACAGCAAGCAGCCCTGTCAGGAGGCTCCATCTCACGAGCAGCGGTGCACCGGCTCTTCCGCCTGCCCCCCGCCACCACTGATGCCATTTCTAGACTCTTTCTGGGAGCTGGCTGGATTGCTGAAGCTGGGGGGAACAGTGCTGGTGGTGGGATGGGAGGGGCAATGGTGAAGCAGGAAGGAATGTGAGTGCATGCTGCTACCAGCCACCACCGATGCCATTGTCAGACTCTTGCTGGGGGTTGGCTGGTTATCTGAAGCTGGGGGGAGTGGTACTGGCAGCGGGGGTATCAGAGGGTCGATGGGAGGGGGGATGGTGAAGTAGGAAGGGATGTGAGGTCTTCCCCCCTCCACCACCACTGACGCCATTTTTAGACTCC